GAATTGCCAGCTTATTTGGCAGTGACAATATGTATTTCAATTTGAGCTGTAAAACACAAAAACTATCCCAATGATCCTCTTGATACTTGGATTTTCTAAATCATTAGAAATTAAAAACAATATCCATTGTAATGAATGCTGTCATATGCTTGATCAGTTGATCACTTGACATCCCATTACTCACTGACTTGCTCGAGCGGGCACTAGTAATGTCTCCATTTGTCCCTGTCTCGTACAAGTGTCGCCCAATGGCATCTGCTTGCTCCAGAAACACGAAAAGCCTCAAACTGCTCATTCAGGGTCTTGACAAAGAAATCTGACCATCTTGTAGATGTGCCCAGAGCCTTGGTTCTTCGTCCTCATAGCTATTTCTTCAACGCTACAAGCCATTCCAAGCAAAGGCATTCCTAGCCACTCTCTTCCTCCTGTACAACTCAGATACCAGGTCATTCGTCATATTGACTTCTTGACCTAGGTACACACAACTACTGCATTCACAGATGTTCGTTCCATTAAGAGCGAATGGAACATCAGGAATGAGACTATTTCTCATAAACACTGTCTTTATGAGATTCAGCTGTAGTCCGACTTTTCCACACTCACGGTTGAAGTCAGCCAGCATTTGTGCTGCTTGGATAATGTTTGATGTTATTAGAATGATGTCATCAGCTAAGCCGACTGTCTATCTTCACTCCCATTCCTTCCCATTCTAGTCACCGCATGATGTTCTCGAGGGTGGCACTGAACTGTAGAGTAGTACAGTCCTGCTGGTTTTCCACTGGGATGGAACCTTGCATTTAGACAGGTAGTGTGAGAAGAGCCGAGCCAGTGTATTGATGAGTACTGATGGCAGGTTCTTCAGGTGTTCAGGTCTGACCTTGTCTGGGCAGGGTGCTATTCGCTTCATTACCAATAAAATGGCATGTTGGATTTTGGAAGAAAGAATGTTGGGAACAACATATCCATCCTGTGGATTTTGGTATGTGGGCAGGTGGACATGGCTATCAAAGAGATCTGAGTAGAAGTCATGGATAATCCTCTCCATTGCCCTTCTGGAAGATGTGATAGATCCATTAGGACGTCGGAGGGCAGTCATCTTGGTCTTGTAATTGGCGAAGGACAGGCGGGCATTGCGAATGCTTTTCCCAGTTTCTGTCGCATCTGCCAGCACTGCTGCTCTTCACTCTTTGAGGTCTTCCTTGATCACATCTCTGCACTGCTTTGTGAGCTCCAATGTTCACTTGTGGTTGCCTGAGGCTTGTGCCAAGTCACATTGGCAAATGAGCTCGAGAGTTTTCAAAGACAGGAGTCTTTTTATGGCTCTCTCTCTCTTGGTGTTCCTCGCACAATCATGGAGGTGCTGAACCAGTTGATTGTATTCTTCGTTGATGTCGTCAATGGCAGCATCTTCCCATGTTGCCACAATAGTGCCAAAGAGCTCCCAGTTGGTGGTCGTTCTGGGAGTTCTCTTCTTAAGCTTTGCAGCCCTTTCTCCCTTCTTTGTGAAGTAGAATTTTGCAGGAAGGAGTCAGTGGTCTGATCCCGTTTGGAATTTTGGGACAACAGTGACATCAGTCAGGCAAAACTATTGATTGAATATGATGTGGTCAATTTTGTTGTGGAACCGTCCACCCGGAGATTCCCATGTCCAATGTTTAGATTCGGCCTTCTGGAACTGTGAGTTACCATGGATGGTCTTGGTCTTGACTGCCCTCCGACGTCCTAATGGATCTATCACATCTTCCAGAAGGGCAATGATGAACTCAGATAGTCTCTCACCCTGTTTGTTCCATTATAGACCATGGGTCCCAATGTGGAGTTCTTTGGCTTATCTTCTCGGTCCTATCTTGGCATTAAAATCACTGACAATGATCTTGTAGAAGGTGTGGTCTTCTTTATAGAACTTCTCCAGCTCCATGTAGAACTTCTCAATTTCTTCTTCATAATAATTGGATTTTGGTTTGTAGACAACAAAGATAGAAACTGCCGGCAGTGAGCCACATCTATTCAAGCATAATCATCCTATTCGGGTTGTTAGGCATTCGAATGAATCAATGCTCATGGCCAAATTCATGTTGACAAGGACACCGACACCACGGACACCTCTTTGGTCGCATGTTCCGAGGAACAGTGCTCCAGTGTCGAAAACGGCATGATGTTATTGATGCCTTCTCATCTCTGTCAAACCAATGATGTTGACCTTTTGCGCTTGCACCATCAGGTCCTCGATGGATGCATCCTATGCCAGCATATATGCGTTGAAAGTACAAATAGTCATTTTTGTCCTTCTTTGTTTTGGCAGCCTAGTTCAGCCTTGAGATTTTATCAGCCTCTCCTTCCTCACCCTTCTTAACGATTCCGTGTTGGTGGCTCTTTCAGGGTCAGCGAAATGAGATTCATTGTATTTACTGGTTTTGGCATATCGAATATGCCACAGATAGCTTGCCAGGCTCTGCCTTGTGAGCGGGATACTCTTGGTAGCTTGCCAGGCTTCGAGAGGGATAGAGGCTTTTAGGGCAGCTCCTAATTGCCCCTGCATGTGCTCCCATGGTTCAAACCACATTTGAACCCCATCAAATATGGTGCGGTAATCTTGGAAGATGGATATTAAGTGTCTTATGATGTCAGGAAAGTGGCATTGAGCGTGGCAGAGGCTGGGTAGTGGAGGTAGTGGAGGTAGCTGTCATATGTTATGCATACTAATTGCAGCTCAAAACTAAACATTCAGTCTCCAAGATGTTGATAGGATTGGCAGCAGGCAACACTTAGCAGAGCTTTTCTCTTAATTATACTTAGATGAAACCATCTTTGCTAAAAGTAGCGGTCATTTCCTTCATCCACATACATGCCCTCTTCCCTGGAACATCTGACTAATCAATTTTTGGATTAAAATATTCAGACGACCCCTAGGAGTAAGAGTACTGGTCACAAAAAGTAAATGGAATCCTTGCCCACATCCAATTCACAATTGTTTCATGGGTTCACACACCACCCTGCATTAATTTCTTAGACTTTGAATACATATATTATTGGGGTAGAGTACTTGAAAATTGGGACAGGCCTTCTACCCTTCATTTCTTGAGTTGTGGGATGAGAGAAAATATGATACTGAAGGATTAAGTGGAAGTTCCTAAAACTGTCCTATTTTAAGGAACCAAAGTGTTGAAAGGCTCACTGTTGGAGGAAATTTAACTTTTGATCCTACAACTCTAGACTCTTCAAGTTTAGAGGTCCTAATACTTTGAAAGAAAATGCATACAGTAGAGGAAATACTGAGAGTCCTATTAAACTTTAAGCTATGTATAATCCCTGGGATCCTGAGGGTAAATAGACCAAGGGAAATATCACTTGTTTATAAAACTAGGTGAGTAGCCTTGGTCTTTGAAAGGCAGCAGTACTGTTCTTATCCAATGGAAATAGGAAGAATAAATCTGGCAACCGGGTAATGGGAATTTCTTTGATATAGTCTTGCCAAATTTTAAGTGGAGGAATGTTTTTTAATTTCTTCCTTAGTGGTCTTCAAACTTTCCTATTTGGGTACTTTTGTTCGGTTTTGGGGCGACACCTATCTGGGCTCAGGACTTAGTTCTCTGGACTCTGAACTCATGGATCACTCCTGCCAGAGATCAGGAGATGATGAGATGTTAGGGTAAACTGCATGCAAGACAAGTACTCTACCTGCCATACTATCCCTTCAGCCCCTATTTATTCTATTTTTTGCAGTTTTATACAAATAAAAAGATTGAAAATCAATGGTTCAGACCTCTCAAAATATGGGCCATCCCTCAAAAAAGGAAATAAGTATCTGCTGTGGCCTTAAAGTCAAGGGCTGTCGTTATCTCTTCAATCTTGCCATTTTAAATTTCCCCAGGAAAAAACATGGCAATACAAATTCAGTAGAACTGTTCCCCACATTTATAACATGGTGCCAGTAGGTACATGCCGAGTAAAACACTGCATCTAGATCTGACATACTCTTCTCTTTCGTGTGATTGCTGACTAACACTCTCAACTGAAAATGCCCAAGAATTGGTGAAGGTGGATGCTTCAACCCAAATCACTCTTCCCCTTGCCTCAATTCAGGAAAACCCAGAAAGAACCTCCTAGTCTTACTTTTCTGAGATATTAGTGGAAATTATTGGTAAGACACCACCAAAACTTATTTCCTTCATGAGTCCACTATCTTGCTTTTCTGTTCTCTCACAGGAAGTACTCCACCAGCACTCTCCAATTAATTTCCCACATGCAAATCCCACTCAGAGTCTGTTTCTGGGAATTTGACCTGAGACACCACCTCATTCTCATTAAAAAAATTAAAATAAATTCAATAATTGATAAAATATTGGACTGGAGCAATAGCACAGTGGTAGGGCATTTGCCTTCAGCACAGCCAGCCTGGTCGAGCTGGGTTCGATTCCTCTGCCCCTCTCGGAGAGCCCGGCAAACTACCGAGAGTATCTCGCCCGCACGGCAAAGCCTGGCAAGCTACCCGTGATGCATTCGATATGCCAAACACAGTAACAAGTCTCAAAATGGAGACGTTACTGGGCCTGCTCGAGCAAAATCGATGAACAACGGGAGGACAGGATAAAATATTATTATAATATATTCATACTGATGTAAATCTGTTGAAAATAAAATTTTCGTTGAAAATTTTCAAAATATACTAGCAATGACTGTAGTCTTAAACTGAACTGAGTATTAATCCCATACTAATCCCATATTGTAGTCATTATATAGAGATGGATATATTTACAAACTGAATATTCATTGTGCTACATTTATCACATATCATGATATACAGACTAGAAACTTTTAAGTGAATGTTAATGAATAAACTATATCCTTTCACAGTTATACTCAAACCATTTATTGATTAAATAAAATTTACATGTATATAAAATTAAATTATGCTATAGCTTATAAATATTGAACATATTATTTATTTAGTTCTTGTCATTGATAATGATATCTCCAAGCTGAAAAAAATGTTGACGTACCTTCACAGTATGCTTAAGTGTTAAGAGAACATCCAGCCTCTCATCTTGAGACAAATTTTTCAGTATAATGGAATTATAGATGCTGTGCAGCTCTTTGGTTCTGATGGTGAATTGTGTATCTATCTCAACTATTTTTCCATCAGCTGCTCTTTGTGTCTTTGGAGCTTCACACTTAAAAATAGTAATTTTATAAATATCAGCTAAAATAATTTTGTACTAAAACTTAACTTTAAAATCATGCTCTAAAATAAAACTATCAATAAAACTTGAGAAAATATTGAATTATCTTTGGAATGTGAGGAAATAGAACATATTAGGAAAAAATGAAAGTTGTTTATTCTGTACAAAGTGCCAACAGGATTCGCTATTGATTTATGCTAACTAGTATACTAAATGGCATGATGAATATGTGGAATAACTCTTTTCTCTAGTGAAAAAAAATACACGTGTTATTTAGATTTTTAAAAATCTGCTTCAGACTTTCCAGCTGATGCTCCTCCATTCCAGGTGAGCCTACCTCCAACTGACAAGTGACATCACTGGGACCAATCCAGATTGAGAAGTAGATCCCCTTCCTTCTAGTTAGTTCCCAGCAGCCTACACACACACACACACACACACACACACACACACACACACACACATATATATAGCACACAAGGTTCAACCTGTAACAGCATATTAGTTAATCTCTTACACAAAGGCTTAATGGCTTTAGGCTGAGATATAACAATCTTAACACACTTTCTTCTAAGGAAACTTTGATCATTTTTAGCAGATTATTCATAATAAATAATACAAAATAAATTATTCAGGGTCTGCTATTGGGTAGGCTTTTTAGGTGATGGTGAGGAAAATTCAAAATATTAGTGGTGGGAAGGTGTACTGGTGGGATTGGTGTTGAAATAGTGAATGTAATAAATGATTGTGAATAGCTTTTAAAAAAATAAAATTTAAATTGAAAAAGAAAAAAAAATTCAGGGGGTATGGTGCCGCCAGTAGGTCAATCTGTACCTGTGTGGTGAGTGCATCAACAGCCTGATGGTGCCTTCAGACTTCCAGATACACAAATTGCTGCTGTGCCTTTGGCCAGACCCCAAAAACTTGGGGCAAAGTTAGCCAAGAAAATAAACGGCCAAAAGTTAGGTATGTGGGAGACACACCCACAAACCACCTCCTGCCCAGCTATATAACTGGAGGCATGGCCTCTCTGGTTCCTGATTAAACTGCTTAACAGCCATGATCCCAGAGACTCAGAAACAAATCTTGAAACCCAACAACTTTAGGCAGAAATACATCCAGTCCCTGCAGTAAGTTACAGGTGCTGGGCCACCCCAAGTGGGAATAGGTTTTGTGCTCTGACCTATTCCTCCTGGCGGCCTGGTGGCTGCCATCCTCCAGAGGCCACTGGACAGTCAGGTTTGGGTCCACAGTGACGAGACATGTGGGGCCTCACAGGATGGGGATGGAGTCGGCCCTTTCCTCCTTGTCCCAACAAGACCCCGAGTTGCCGCCCATGAACAGCCTCTCTGACTCCTGATCAAGCTGCTTAACGGCCATGATCCCAGAGACTCAGAAACAAATCTTGAAACCCAGCGGCTTTTGGCAGAAACGCATCCAGACCCTGCAGTACGTTACTGTCACTGGGCCACCCCAGGGGGAAAAGGGTGCTGTCCCTCTGTCCCTCCGCCTGCTTCCCCTTGGTGGCTCGGTGGCCCCCATCCGCCAGAGGCCACTGGACAGTCAGGTTTGGGCCCGCAGTGACAAGACACGAGGGGCCTCAGAGGATGGGGGTGGAGACGGCCCTTTTCTTCCCACCTCAACGAGACCCCGAGTTGCCACCCATGAACAACCTCTCTGGCTCCTGATCAAGCTGCTTAACGCCCATGATCCAAGAGACTCAGGAACAAATATCGGAACCCAGCAGGTTTTGGCAGAAATCCCTCCAGATTTAATTGTTAAAATTTCTGAATTTCAAAATTGCGCAGCCACTACTGCAGCCATGCGACATCATATGTTATTCATAACCAGCAATAGAAAACAAATTATCTAATGTTGCCTTTTCAGCAGATCTGAGTGTTGGGGTAAAATCCCAAATAATAATGGTGGGTCTGGTGTCAAAATATTGAATGTAATCAAAGTAGAGAGAGAGTAATGTGGAAATCATCTGCCCCGCAGGTAGGGGGAGGGTGTGGGATGGGGGTATACTGGAGTTTTGGGTGGTGGAGAATGGGCACTGGTGAAGGTACGGGTGTTTCTTTGTATGACCGAGACTTAAACCTGAAAGCTTTGTAACTGCTCTCACAGTGATTCAATAAATAAAATTATAAAAAATGAAAAAAAGTAAGGTGGAGTTCATGCTCAATTCAATTAGCTAGTGGCTGAATAAATAGCAGTATTCCTACATAAAAAGTTTTTAAAAATTCTTCATAAAAGTCATTTGCACTCCTATTCTTTGCAACACTTCTCACACACATTAGCCAAAATCTGGACACAATACAACTGTTAAAGAATACATGACTGGATAATAAAACTATGGCATATATATGCATTGGAATACTATTCAGCTTCAATAAAATATGGAATAATGTAATTGGATGCCTTGGGGATGGATCTAGAGAGTATCATGCTGAGTGAAGTTAGTCAGAAGAAAAGAGACATAAATAGAATAATCCCTCTCACATCTGGGAATAACAAATGCTCAAAGGCAACATAAATTGAGAACTTATTTTGAGTGGGAATCTTACCATGGGATTAGGGGAGGGGTATGAATGAGGAAAAGGATGGAGGGGAATACTAGGACAAGGGTGGAGGACGCAGACACTCTGATGGAGGTGTGATGCTTGGACGTTTTATGCATGAAACTCTGACATTCACAGTATTGTAAATCATAACACTTAAGCTAAAAAAAAAAACTTCTTAGAAAATAATATAGATGGCCAATAAGTATCTGAAAAATATTTTCTTGATCACTTATCATCAGGGAAATGCAAATCACTTGATCACTTATCAGCAGGGAAATGCAAATCAAAACAATTTTGTGGAATTTCCGGATTTTAGAAAGTGGGTTTCAACCATTACATAAATGATTTTTTTTCAAATTATGCCATGGTGATTACAATTTCATAGTGAAATACAATATCCATGCTCAATACATGTAATTTTAAAAAGACTATCAGTTCTGAGCCAGAATGGGATGAAGATATGCTATGCAGGTAGGAGGCCAAGTTTGATCCTGGCATTGCATGATATCAAGGACCTTTGAGAGCAACACCTGCCAGAGGTAGCTCTGAAGCATCTTTAAGTATAGCCACGCACACACACACACACACACACACACACACACACACACACACAAAACCACACAAAGAAAGCTATCAAATTGTATTCTGAAATTTAGTCTCACTTTAAAAACAAAAAAGTGATTAAATAATTTTGTTTTCTAACCATAACTAAATAACTCTAATACCATACTGTATCAAAAGAAGTTTAAAGTTTTTACTAGTCAGTATTTTGAAAGACCAGGTTAATTAGGTTTTTATTAAACTGGTCTCAAGTGTAGTTCTGCTTTGTGACTGTGTTCTTCTTACACAGCCAACACTTCCCTCAAAATTGAGATAAAGCACACTCCTATCAGTTAAAATCTCTACTTCCTCTGAATCTTAATCTAGGGTTTTATTAGACTAACTGACTTAGCAGCATGGGTTTAAGAACACCAATTATATAGCATACATCACCCACAAAAAGTTTTTCCCTTGACTTCTACAAAGTTTCAGAGAAGCTAACTTTCCTATTCTATAAATTTTCTGGTTTTGCACATCTATCAACACTACAGTGAATTAATCTGGATATTAACAAAATGCTTTTTAAAATTTTGAGGTGAATGATGAAATCAAAAGTGAAATAAGAAATTATCTAGAGACCAATAAAAATAAAGAGATAAGCTACAAAGTCAGAGACTTTGACTTTTTGACTTTTCCCTGACTTTTTTCCAAGGACTGTAATACAGCAGGGACTGGAGCGATAGCACAGCGGTAGGGCGTTTGCCTTGTGCGCAGCCAGCCCGCCCGAGCCAGGTTCGATTCCTTCACCCCTCTCAGAGAGCCTGGCAAGCTAGGCAAGCTATCGAGAGTATCTCGCCTGCACAGCAAAGCCTGGCAAGCTACCCATGACGTATTCGATATGCCAAACACAGTAACAACAAGTCTCAAAATGTCGTCCCTCCATCTGCCCCCTAAACATCCTGGTGGCTGCCAACTTCCAGAACCTAGAGAGAAGTGCAGGTACGCGATTTCAGTGACAGGGATAGGGGATGGGCCAGTCCTTCTCATCCCCCATCCCCAAAGGACCCTAGATATCACACCCACAAACTGCCTCAGACTGTTATTTCAGCTTCTTAACATCCATGATTTAGAGACACACAAAAGAATCTTCGAGCCCAGCAGCTCACTACAGAGATTTTAGAATTACAGGAGCGACATCTTATGCTATTCATAACAAGCAATACAAAAGAGAGTATGGGGGAGATTGTCTGCCATAGAAGCAGTGGGAGGGGTGGGAAGGGGGAACACTGGGGGCATTGGTGGTGGAAGATGTACACTGGTGGAGGGATGGAAGTTCGATCATTGTATCACTGAAACTCAAACAAAAAAGCTCTGTAACTGTATCTTACAGTGATTTAATAAAAATTTTAAAAATTCAATGTACTTAAATAATTTTTACTTTACTAACCTTATTTAGAAAATCTTGTAGTGCTATTTCCTCTCTCTTCATCACAGCAATGCGTCTATGCCTTTCAATGGAAGCAATTATCTGGGTCTCTTTTTCCAGAAGTTCACACAAAGCAGTTTTTCTTTCAGCTCCAGTTAAAGATTGGTTAATGCATGAAATTTCTTCTTCCCGCCAGGCTGAAGAAATGAGATTACTGAGTTTTTAAAATTCCACATCTTTACAGAGCATTTTTTACCATCGCATCCTGAAAAGTAGTATTTTACTTGTGTGTCAATTTAAATAAAATTACCATAAATAAAATCATTCATATCATAAACAGCATATTAAAATACAGAAAAAAATGGAAGTTGAGAGATAATGGAAGTAATTAAAGAGTCAAATACAACTCAAAAGAAATAAGTACAGAAACTGTCAAATTATACCTCCAAGTAGGTGGTATATTTAATACTGCCCATATTAAAACATAATTACTTGGATGCTGAAGATATATTACAGCAGGTAAGGCACTTGTCTTGCATACAGCTAACCTAGATTTTATACCCAGCACCCCATCTGGGAGCACCATCAGCACCCTGAGCACCACCAACAGTGCAAATCTAAGAGTAAGCTCTGAGCACTGCCAGGTATGGCCCCAAACATCCAATGCCGTGATGCTTCGGGATCACTTTAAGGAATCTGTCTCTGCTTTGGCTCTTGCCATTTTGATTACAATATATCTTGGGGGTTTGGTTGGTTTTGCTTCAGCACTATTTGGGTCTCTTGAATTGGTGCATGAACCTCTTCAAATTGGGAAAGGGTTCAGCTGTTGCTCCAAAGCCATTCTTCTCCTTTACCTCTTTACCCTCCTTCTTCAATTTCTACTATTCTGAGGTTTTTCTCCTGTTTTGTCAACTACATCTCTTAAATTCTTATTTTGTCTCAATCAAATTTCTTCTACCTCTTCTTCATTAATGGCTTTTTGTACTATGTCTTAAAAGTCACTGATTCAGCTTTACTTGCTACATTTCACTTGGATTCGTTAATTCCTTCAACTTGAATGAATTATTTCATTTTATTACATGAGACTTTTCAAGTTTATTGATTTTCTGTTCAACTGTTTTTAAGATAATTAAATATCCAGAGGATTATTATTCTAAATTCTTCAGTCAGTTAAAAGAGATCTGATGTGGTTGATGATTTTTCTGAGATTTTGTCACCATCTGTTGATGAATTCCTTCTATTTTCTTTTGTTCCTGATGCTATGTCATCTGTGTGGCAGAGCTCCAGCAACTCACTGCTCCAGAATCTGGGGCTGTCTTTCTTCAGGACCATTTTTCTCCAAGTCCAAGGAGTTTAGTTTCCTACCAAGGTCAGGAGAAGGGTGGCTACCCATGCAGTATATCTGCACCAGGGTCAGGGTGTAGATCCAGTACTTGTTTCTCCAGAGGCATGCCCTTCCTACAACTGATCTTCCTTTATATTCCAACATGGTTCCAGAAAAACTGAAAGGGCAGGGACAAAGAGGATGTGGGCTTTATCGTTGTTCCTGGCTAGTGGTGTAGTAGCCCAAAGGGTCACTTCTGGGTTCCCTGCAGTGGCAGCAGTGTGAGGCGGGTTCAACCAGCACTCCTGCCATTCCATGGGGCTAGACTTGGGGGTACCTGTAGCAGCAGCAGTCAAGTTACATTGCATGGATAGGACAAAAATCTAACATTTTATAACACTCAGTTTTGTGACTTCCATTAGGGAGATCTTATCTTGGCATAAGATTACTAACCCTTCAACTAGATAGGAGTCAATCAAGTTAAATGTACACTCCCGTTGTTCTATTTCAGACAAAATTATTTTCTCATCATATTGCGGATATATTTCATAATATTCTACATATATAATGTATGTCACCTGTGTGGCAGAGCTTGGGGGTTTGGTTGGTTTTGCTTCCGCACTATTTGGGTTTCTTGAATTGGTGCATGAATCTCTTCAAATTGGGAAAGGGTTCAGCTTACCCTTCTATTAAACATTTCAATTTTACTTTAACACTAATCTCTCCATTGAGTATTAAATATCTAAATCCTATTGGTGATTCTGGTCCCATTCTATTCTAACACTTCATGATATTTAATTTAAGATCTTGTGAGTGAGGGGACCTAAATCGTGGTCAGGAGACTTGGTATTTACTCCCAGTGAGTCCTGCCAGGAATGATTCTGAATAGAGGCAGGAGTAAGCCCCGAATACAGCCGGGCACGACTCCAAAACCAAAAATTAATTAAAAGGAACAAACCTAATAAAAATTATTAGAGATGAAGATATTGGATCTTAATACCAATAAAATTCCCCATTGGATGATGAATTTTAGTTAGAAATATAGATTGACATAAAGATCACAATATCAGAAAACAACTACAAATAAAGAATAGAAAAACGCAGGAATCAGAAATAGTTGGACACAACTGCTAGTGCTATGATAACAAAGTACCACATACTGAGAGGCTTAAACAATAGAAAATTATTTTCTTAGAATTCTGGAAGACACAAGTTCCAGATCGAGAATGCAACAAAATTCTGAAAGCCTCTCTCTTCCATACAACTTCACTTTTTCTTAGTTACCCTCTCTCCACATACATTCATATTCTGAGGTATTAGGACTTCAACATGTAAATCTGAAATAACTACAATTCATCTCCTAACAGGTGTCAAAACCCAGTAATATGTTAAAAGAAAATTATCTTAAAGGAATTGATTTGACTTAAAGCATTCATTTATCTATCTTATATTCTTAGACAAATCACCTAATTTTCACAGCCTGCTTTCTCACCAAGGACTGGAAGCCTGAATGGAGAGAATAAAGTAAACGTCGGACTGAAAGCAGAAGGCCAGGTATGTGCAACAGATTCTATCCAGAATCTCTACAAGCTAAAAATAATACTCCCAACTGATGAGTAAGTACTAATTAGAGATAAGCTAATTATTAACACAGCCAACACAAGATCAACATGAAAGCTAGACAATCCAATTCAACAATGCTTACTAGACATGAGTAAAGTCCTAACAAGTGTCATGAATACAAAAGTAAATAATCAAGGAAGAGGTTGTACAGAGAATCAGGTGTGAAGAAAGGATGTTCTAAGACACATACCTGTAGTCAAGATGTTTCCTAAAGATGATTACTCCTATTCTAAATATGATCACTCCTATCCTAAATCTAACAGTAACAATACAGATTAAGAAAAGATATCACCCTGGCTATCTTGATACAAGCAAAAACAAACAAATAAACAAACACTGTTCTCCCGTTGTTCATCAATTTGCGTGAGTGGGCCCAGTAACGTCTCCATTTTGAGACTTGTTGTTACTGTGTTTGGCATATTGAATACGTCATGGGTACCTTACCAGGCTTTGCCATGCAGGAAAGCTATTCTCGGTAGCTTGCCGGGCTCTCCGAGAGGGACGGAGGAATCGAACCAGGCAAAAAATGATACAAAACAAAGTATTATTTTTAATACAAGTTTTCTCTTAAATATATTTATTACATAGCTTCTTGATTTTAAAAATATATGTTTTGAGACCAGCATGTGGTCTACCTTGTAAAATATCCCATGTGTTTTGGAAGAGAATGTGAATTCAGTTTTTAGGTGTCCACATTTATACAAACGCACACATATATGCATACATATATGTATATGCATACACATGTATGCATATATGTATGTGTGAGTATAAAAGTAGATACAGATTTTACACCCTCTATTCCATTTCTTTCTTCAAAACCAGTATTTCCTTGCTGAGTTTTAGTTTAGTTGATCTATCAAGAAGTGATTATAGTACTGTTGAAGTTTCCAATGATTATTGTATTGGTATCAATATCTTCCTTCAAATCTATTAGCAGTTGTTCTGTGCCATTTTTCTGCGGAAGTTTGGCATATTTGTGAGATTTGTCTTGTCTTAAAATAGCCCCTTCAGTTCTTATGATAAGTTGGTTTTGAATCTATGAGGCTGCTGTTTAACTGTAAAGTTCCAAATCATTCCTTCAAGTCTGAATGAATGAAAATCTGTCTGGGTAAGTATTCTTGGTGAGATGTTCATTTCATTGTTGTCAGTATTTTTCTTTTTTCAAGTATATGCCACCATTGTCTTCAGGCCTGCAGGGTGTCATTTGATAATACTGCTGCAAAACTTAAGGATGCTCCTTTAAACATAATTTCCTTCATTGATCTTGCTGTTTTCAGTATTCTATCTCTGCCACTGGCTTTCATCATTCTGATTAGGACTGTCTTAAAGTATTTATATTTGAATTTCTTTTAGTTGGTACCTTTTGGGCCTCTTAAATCTGGGTGCATTCATTCTTCAACCTCAGAAACGTCTCAGTGATGACTTTTTTGACAAATTCTTCAGATTCGCCTTCCTGGGCTTCTGGTAACCCAATGATTCTTACTTGTTGTTTGTCTTGAATTCATCCCAGAGTTCTCTTATATGATGTACATTTATTTTGAGGCTGTTTTCCACATCTTCTGCTGGAGGTTTTCTGCATCTCATCTTGGAGTTCACTGATTTTTGTCCTCAGCTGTTCTGCTGCTGAAGCCTTCCAAGGAAATTTTCATTTCAAATACCAAATTCTTTAGCTCTGTCATTTCTGAGTGTAGTTTTCTCAATGTTTTCTCAAAGTTTCTCTGCTTTCATGTCCTCCTGTGTCTTCTTGGCTATCAGTTTCATTGCTTCTTTGAGTTTGTTAAACATCCTCAACTTCCCTCTCTAAAGTCCTAATCAAAGAAGTTACAGAACTGCTTACTACTGGTTGTGTCTTCTGGCCTACTACTCTCTCTCTCTTCTCTGGTGGGTTTCTGCATTACTTTCCCACCGTGATTTATGCAGTCTGGGGGTGTTTTTTGTGTGTTGTTTTGTGTATAGGTGACTAGAGTCAAGATGTCTATGTATAGTCTCTGTGAGATACGAAGAAGTGAAATATTGGGGATGAAAATGATGGCATAGCATATAGGGTGTTTGCCTTGCACATTGTCAACTCTGGTTTGATCCCCAGCATTCCATGTGGTTCACCTGAGCACTGGCAGGAGTAATTCCTGAGTGTGAAGAAACAGGAATAACTCCTAAGCATGGCCGAGTGCGGCACAAAAAAACAAAACAAAACAAAAAGTGAACTATTGAGTGGCATATTAGTGGCTGCGTGCTTCATAGGGGTCCTGACCTGAGAACAAAATGGCCAGTATGGTTTCCTAGCTACATTTTGAGTCCCAGAGACCACGGGAGAGATGGCACCAAGCCAGGTGACAGATGGGTGTCACAGAGGTTCTGACCTGGGATAGCTAAATTTTCTTACATTGATATTCTACTTTTTGTTTGGGGACAACCTCAGAGATGCTCTGGACTCACTCCAGACTCTGCATGTAGAGATCACTCCTGGTTGACTCAAGGGAACACATGGGGAGGCTAGGATCAAACTCAGGTAAGCCGTGTGCAAAGCAAGTGCCTACCCACTGTACTATTGCCCTGGCCTCCAACTGATATTTCGCTTTTATTACTAAGGGACTGGTTGTCTGAAGGAAGTTCATGTTGCTTGTGCAATTACCATTATTATCCACAAGAGGGCAGCGGTTTCAAAGATTGGAGTTAATAAGGAATAAAATTTTATCAAATCCAAGAGCAATATAAATTATTAAAATTTGTGAACCAGAAATTTAACTATAACCTAAAAAACTTAAAAAATTATTATTAGTGTCTTATTTATAATTTTCAGATAAGAATAAAACAGATGTCTCTAAAATTCTTTTTCTTTCATACTAAATCATGTATAGAAACGCAAAATATATTATCCTACTTTAATACTGAACATCTGCATAAAAATTTTCTATAGAACAGTAACATATATTCATATATATGTCTTTGCAATTATGATTTTCATAAATACGTTTTATTTTTTTCTTCTGAAGTAACTGTAACAGAAATTATTAAATACTTTGACTACTTTGTTACATTTTTCAAAAAAGAGGAAGTTCAAAAAAACAACGGTATATCAGATTCACAAGATATCTTCCTAAAATAAGTCTTATTTTAATTTTTAGTAAACTTGTTTTCCCTGCTAATTATCTTTAAATTGTCATTTAGTGCAAAGTCTCTTTCAAACTTACATTCTAGTGCATTATAAAGAAGCTCAAAATCCTCCTTTGTTTGGGGATTATGTCGCCGGTCATAGTCCAGTTTAATCGCTTTTTCTTTTTCTCTTTTCTTGGCTTGTTTTTGCTTAGCTTCCCATTCCAGTCTTATCCGTTTTTGTCTTTTTAATTCCTCTACCACTCTTTTTGCATGCCATCGTCTGTAGTTAGTTTGTATTACTATTACCTAAAATTAGTTAGAAAGAAATATAGTATCACATTCATCAAAATGCACCTACATAAAAGTTAATGTAGGTGCTGTCACAGGGAAAACCTTGCACTGTCAACGGCCCTTTGATATACTCATGTGAGCTTTAAAGTCTCCTGTGGCAAAGTCAGATCAAAGTGGACTAAAGACCTCAATATCAGACATGAATCCATAAGGTACATAGAGGAAAATGTAGGCAGAACTCTCCATGATATTAAAGCCAAAAGCATCTTTAAGCATTGAAACATCACTGACCAAGCAAGTGGAAACAAACGTAAACAAATGGGAGTACATCAAACTAAGAAGCTTCTGTACTTCAAAAGAAATAGTGACCAAAATACAGAGAGAGCCCACAAAATGGGAAAGAATATTTACCCAATACTGATCTCGTAAGGGATTAATATCCAGGATATACAAGACACTAGTAGACTTGCATAAGAAAAAAACCTCCAACCCCATCAAAAAAATGGGGAGAAAAAAATGAACAGAAGCTTCCTCAAAAAAGAAATACAAATGGCCAAAAGGCACATTTAAAAAAAAATGTTCAACATTCCTAATCATCAGGGAGATGCAAATCAAAACAACAATGAGATATCTCACATCACAGAGACTGGCACACATTCAGAAGAACAAAAGCAACCAGTGCTGGAGTGGATGTGGGGGAACAGGGACGCTTTTTGACTGCTGGTGGGAATGCTGACTGCTCCAGCCCTTTTGGAAAACAATATGGACAGAAATTGAGCTTCAATGACCCCATAATACCACTTCTGGGAATATTTCCCAAGGCTGCAAAAAGCACAGTAGAAATGACATCTGTACCTATATGTTCACTGCAGCACTGTTTATAATAGCCAGAATCTGAAAACAACCCAAGTGCCCGAGAACAGACAAATGGTTAAAGAAACTTTGGTACATCTACACAATGGAATACTACACAGCTGTTAGGAAAGATGAAGTCATGAAATTTGCTTATAAGTGAATAGACATGGAAAGTATCATGCTATGTGAAATGAGCCAGAAAGAGAGGGACAGATATAGAAGGACTGCACTCATTTGTGGAGTATGAAATAACATAACACAAGACCCATACCCAAGGACAGTAGATAGAAGGGTCAGGAAAATTGCTTCATAGTTGGAAGCCTGCCTCACGAGCGGGCAGGGAGAGGACAGTTGGAATAAAGAAGGGATCACTAAGAAAATGATGGTTGGAGGAATAGGTCAGGATGGGAGATGTGTGCCGAAAGTAGATAAAAGGACTAAACATGATAACCTCTCAGTATCTACACTGCAAACCTTAATGCCCAAATGTGAGAGAGTATGGTGACTACTGTCTGCCATGAAGGCAGTGGGAGTCTGGGAAAGGTGGGGGTATACTGGTCGAGGGGAATGTGCACTGGTGGAGGGATGGGTGTTTGATCATTGTGTGACTGTAACTCAGACATGAAAGATTGTAACTATATCTCACGGTGAATCAATAAAATTTTAAAAAATAAAAAATAAAAAAATAAAGTCTCCTGTAGCTTCTCCTTTTCTGAGGGGGTCCACCCTTCTCTTGGAGGGGCCTTGGTTGTTTCAGTCTTAAGAGTGATACTCAAAATGTGATATACAGATTGTCAACTAAATTACACTCTCTTCCTTACCTCATTAACCACAATTATAAATGTCCTCAAAACCCTGCTCCAGAATCTGAATCAAACTCTGTTTACTTTAACTGACTTTCTTCTTGTAGGAAGACATCTTCAATGAAAGACCTACACTGATATGTGTTATCACAGTTTCTTTATTTTTTCAAGTACATGTGCCTGAGCTGCACTTCTCAAAAGACTTGATTTCTGGTCACCATCAAGTGATCAAAATCACTTCCAAGTAAGAACTATAGAGATCTAATTATTTTAGGCTAGTCACTAAACAAATAAACATAAAACTCATTAAACACCACGCTGAAGTGAATAGATCCAGCATAAGGATATGCTACAATAAAATGCCCAGTCCTCAACACAGCAATAACAAAAATATGTGACATATATAATGTTAACCATCTAGAACAGAAAAAAAGTCAATAGATAGAAAGTACGTATGAGTTGTCCAAATGTTGAACTTATTAAACATTTCAAAACACCTATTACAAACATAGGCAAAGAACCATAGGTAACAATGCTTAAGTGTTAAAGAAATAAGGCAACAATTTGCCAATAGAGAATAAAAAGTTAACCAATGGAAATTTGGTACTTAAAATACAGTAACAAAAGGCCAGAGTGATAGGTCAGTGGGTGGGCCATTTGCCTTGCACGCTGCCCAAATAAAACAGTTTCTTGATTTAAAGACTCCATTTGGGTCCCAGAATTCACCTCAATGGTAGAGGGTCTGCTCTGTAGGCCTGTGGCTGAGACTTTGTTTGATCTCCGGCACTGCCACTTAGATGTGATCCCAGTGGCAATGAATTTATAATCCCTGGGTGAGAAGTTATGCAATGTGGCAAACTCTGTTACATTGTAACCAAGTCTGAGAAACCCACAGCTGAAGTGTGTAATCCCCAGTAAGGACCAGGACCCAGTGTGTGACCCCTTGTTATCACAACCGCAACAAATGAAAGAGAAGTAGAAAAAGCAATTCCATTAGATTAAAAATAACTGGAGGGGCTGGAGCCATAGCACAGCAGGTAGGGCATTTGCCTTGCACGTGGCCAACCCAAGTTCGATTCCCAGAATCCCATATGGTCCCCTGAGCACCGCCAGGAGTGATTCCTGAGTGCATGAGCCAGGAGGAACCCCTGTGCATCGCCAGGTGTGACCCAAAAAGCAAAAAAAAATAAAATAAAATAAAAAAATAAAAAATGAAAAATAATAACTGAATTCAAACAAAAATGTAAGACTTGTAATAATACAGAAAAAAATAGAATTTAATATACTATCAATTAGTCTGAAAGATCCTAGATAAGGGCAAGGAACAAAAGGGACAAAACTAATAATAATCAAAGATAGCACTGTAGCACTACCCTCCCATTGTTTATCGATTTGCTCAAGCGGGCACCAGTAACATCTCCATTGTGAGACTTGTTACTGTTTTTGGCATATTGAAAATGCCACAGGGAGCTTGCCAAGCTCTGCCGTGCGGGCAGGATACTCTCGGTGGCTTGCCGGGCGGCAGAAATCGAACCCGGGTCAGCTGCATGCAAGGCAAACACCCTACCCGCTGTGCTATCGCTCCAGCCCAATAATCAAAGGTAATACTCAAAATTCCTAGGATTTTTTAAGGAGAGGAGAAGGATTTGAAACATATAGATTTATGTTTCCTTTAATGAAGATGGCAAGTGGGGTGAGGGTGATCTGAGACTGAAAACAAGACTGGTTTTACTATCAGCAAAATACTACATCCACAAAATTTTCTCCTTGATCAAATTCTAAATGGGCTTCTCTAATCTCTTTTGCCATGCAAGCCTTATATTTTGAATTATGTTTACCTTGACACTGTCAGTGTTAACAAATAATGTGCTAATTTAGTTTAACCAGAATCACATTCTACTTCGATCAGGTTCCTTCTCTTCTACCATCTCCCAAATGATGCTTACTTACACTTATCTGCCAGAAAAAATCCTGTTATTGGTTTTGCCAAGGGCTGCTGAGAGAGTACAGCAGAGAAGGTGTTTACTTTGCATGCAGCAAACCCAGGTTCAATCACTGGCACCCCATATGGCCCCCCAAGCACTACCACGAGTGATCCCTGAGTGAAGAACCAGGGAGTAAGCCCAAGAATCATAGTAAGGCCCAAAAACCTATCTAAAATTATATACAAATGTATAGGTTTGGCCAGAATTCCTTCTTACTTTGATATTTTCTCAGTAATTTTCTATCCCTTATCCCTACCCTTCTCCTTGTCTATAAATGCTTACTTTCTCTTGTATTCAGAGTTGAGTCCCATCTCTATTCCCTACAGCAAAACTCCAGTATAGCAACCCCTTTGAATCAAGTATACCCTACCACATTTAACAAGTGTTCTGAGTATCTTTTTCTTTAACAATATTCTTATAGATTCTTTCTGAAACCTGCCAGGAGTGATCTCTGAGCACAGAACCAGGAGTAAGTACTGAGCACCACCATGTGTTGCCCAAAAATGGAAGGAAGTAAAAAAGACTACCAATTAGGTGTGCTGAAAGTAATCAGGAGACTTGCAAGAACCCAATCGCCACCATGCCCACTGCCAATCTCCACAGGGTTGGGACAAGCCTCATCTATGAGTGAATTTGTTGAGAAACTCAAATATATGGGTTTTTGTGACCGAAATCTCCAGAGTCTCACTGAGTTGGGAATGGGTGACCTCCCAACATCTCCCTGTTCTTCTGGGTGCCTGGCAGTCACACCCATGAACTGCCTCTGTTGCCATATAAGTTCATTAATAGCCATGATCCAAAGATTCACAAATAAATCTCAGAAGATATCAACAAGCTGGACCCCAAAATCATCATCCAGTTATAAATTTAACTTCAGCTCTATCTATCACCCTATTTAAAATTTTAGTATTCCTGGAGTGACATCTCATACTCTACACTACTGATGTACAGGGAGTAGCACACCACATTGGATGGGGTGTAAAGTGGAAGGCTACCAATCAACATCAAAAAAAAAAAAAAGCAACAAGCTTCAACCTGCAACAACATGTTAGCAAACTCTTATTAGCAAGCTCAATGGCTCCAGGGTATGATGAAACAAACTTCACACATTTTCTTCTTAGGAAACTTTTTTTGATAATCTTTAGCAGATTATTCACAACAAGCAATACAAAATAAATTATCTATGGCTTGCTATTGGGGAAGGCTTGGGTGGTTGTTGAGAAAATTCAAAATAATGATAGTGGGAAGGTGTAATGGTGGTGGGACTGGTGTTGGAATGTTGAATGTACTAATTATTGTGAAAAACTTTATAAAAATAAAATAAAAAATTACAAAAAGCTCATCACCATTTATTTTTTAGTAAGTCCAAATCAAAACAACAATGGCACATATCCAAAAAAAAAAAAAAGAAAAACAATGAGAAAAATATGGTGTTGACAGGTATGTGGTGAAAAAGGAACTCTCACCCATTGCTAGTGAGAATGTTGTCTGGTTCAACCCCTGTGGAACCCAGTATGGAGATTTCTCAAAAACATAAGAATTGAGTTGCTATATAACCTGGTAATTCCACTTCTTGGTATCTATCCAAAGAATATAGCATTGTAGCACTGTCCTCCCATTGTTCATCAATTTGCTCGAGCAGACACCAGTAAAGTCTCCATTGTGAAACTTGTTACAGTTTTTGGCATATCGAATACGCCACAGGGAGTTTGCCAGGCTTTGCTGTGTGGGTGGAATACTCTTGGTAGCCTGCTGGGCTCTCTGAGAGGGGCGGAGGAATCGAACCCAGGTCAGCTGCATGCAAGGCAAACACCCTACCTGCTATGCTTAGCACACTTGCTAACATGGAATTAACATTTTAGATAAGTGGATAATGAAGGGTTGGTATATATAGACATTGGAATAGTATGCAGCTGCATAGAAGGGTGAAATAATACAATTTGCTGAAACTTGCATGAAACTGAAGGATATTACATTAAGTGAAGTAAGTCAGAAGAACAACAAACAGAATGATCTCACTTCTCTATGGTATATATTTTAAAAAACAGGACAAAGAAATGCAAGATATTAAAGGGAAGATGCCCAAATCACCCTTGACCCCAGAGTATAGGAAAGAGAAGACCAAGGAAGGAAATAAATTAAGGTAGAAAGTAATAAGAGGAAGATGGAAAGTAACAAAGGTAGGGACAGGGGTGTTGGATACATCCATGGTATAGAGGTGTGATATTATCTATATATTTAAACCACAGTGCCAACAACACCGAAAGCCTAAGATACAGGATGGGGGGTATAGTGGGGAAACTGGGAACATTTGTAGAGGGAAGCTGACATTGGTGGTTGGTTTAGTGTTGGAACACTGTATATAAAGCTGAATTATGAATAACTTTGTTAATTACTATACTATAATAAAAATTTTATTAATACTATCTATCTATAATAGTATTAAAATACTATTTATTAATACTATCATATTAATGTATTAATATGATAGTAAAGAAAGTTAAATAAAATTTAAAAGGTAATCCTACCGCATTTAATCTTCTAGCATGATATTCTTCTGCTGAAAAATATTTTCCTGGTGTTATTAGTTTATCACTCATATTTGATACATACACACCAATTTTAGTCATCTGTGTAGATGCTGAACAGGTAGTTTGTATGAGCTTTTTTTTCTGTTTAACTGTCTAAAAGAAAGAGGAAAATTGTCTACATTATGAAAATATGAGTAATGAACATTTTCCTACATATGAAAATTAGATGTATTCGTTTAATTGATATATAATTTGGTAGAAAATTTTAGTGAGGATATGTACATCATTTGCTAATTCTTCAATCTTAAAACTTTATATAGAAAAACAATTACCTGGGTATCTCTAGAAAATATGTTGGGTTTTTCAGGAATCTTTTTAGGTACAGTTTGTGTTCCAGCATTATGATATTCTTGGCCTGTTAACTTATGTCTGAATCCACCAAGAAATGGTTTGTGAAAATTAGATTTTTTTATTTCAACAGCTACATCCTGGTATTCAAAAACACCTTGAAGAGAGAAGACCAATACTTAATTCACCTGCAAAGGATCTCTAAAATACTTACCTAAAAGACATCAAATACTACCACTTTGTAGTGCAATTTGAAGTTGGAGAAGGTTATGCCTCCCATATTCTTTTCCCCAAGGATTGCTTTAGCTATTCATGGTTTTTTATTGTTCCATATGAATTTCAGAAGTGGTTGATCTATTTCTTTGAAAAACGTCATGGGTATCTATTAGGGTCTGCATTGAATCTGTATAACTTTGGGAAATATTGACATTTTTACAATGTTAATACTCCAAAACCATTTCCTCATATCCTCTTTTATTTCTTGAAGTACTATTTTGTAGTTTTCTGTGTATGGACCCTTAACCTCTTTAGTTAAGCTTATTCCAAGGTATGTAATTTTCCAAGACACAATAACTGAACAGGATTGTTATTTTGTTATCACTTCTCTTTAATTATTTGTATATATAAAAGCCATGGACTTTTGGGTACTGATTTTTTAACCTGCCACTTGACTATACAAATCTATTGTTTCTAGGAGCTTTTTTTTGTAGAGTCTTGAGGAATTTCTAAGAATTGTATCGTGTCATTTGCAAACAGTGATAACTTGACTTCTTCCTTTCCTATACAGATATCCTTGATATCTTTTTCTTGCCTAACTGTTATAGCAAGTACTTTCAGTATCAACCTGAATAGGAGAGAGTGGGCACCATGGTATTGGAATAAAGACAGACTGGCAGATCAATGGAACAGAGGTGGTATCCTAACACAGACCCTCAAATATATGATTATTTAATCTTTGATAAAGGCGCAAGAAATATGAAGTGGAGCAAAAAAAGCATCTTCCACAAGTGGAGCTAGGAAAACTGGATAGCTACATGTAGAAAATTGAACTAAGACGTCTATCTAAAAGGTGCACAAAAGTCAGGTGAAAATGGATTAAAGATCAGCATCAGATATGAACCCAAAAGGTACATAGAGGAAAATGTAGGCAGAACCCTCTATGACATTGAAGCTAACGGTATCTTCAAAGATGAAATACCACTGACCAAACATGTCAAGACAAAGATTAACAAATGGGACTACATTAAACTAAGTTTCTGCACCTCAAAAGAAACATAACCAAACTACAAATACATCCCGAGAATAAATGACTGGATAAAGAAACAATGGTACATCTACATAATGGAATACTACCCAGGTGTTAGGAAAAATGAAGCCATGAAATTTACTTATAAACGGATGAACATGGAGAGTATCATGCTGAGTGAAATGTGTCAGAAGGATGGAGACAACAAATATAGAATGACTGTACTCATTTGTGGAATACAAAAAAAACATGAGATTAATATTCAAGGACATCAAAAACAGGGGCCAGGTTGGAAGCTTGCCACAAGTGTATAGGAGGCTGAGGGCAGTTAGGATAGAGAAGGGACCAACATGACACTAATCGTTGGAAATGGTCACTCTTGACAAAAACTGAATGTTGACAGTATGTAAAGAGATAAATATGATAACCTTTCAGTATCTGTACTACAAACCATGATGCCCAAAAGGAGACACAGACAATCAAACACAGAGAGAGAGAGAAAGAGAGAGAGAGAGAGAGAGAGAGAGAGAGAGAGAGAGCGAGAGAGCGAGAGAGACAGACAGAGACAGAGACAGAGACAGAGAGACAGAGAGAAAAAAGTGCCTGCTAGAGGTGGAGGTGAGGAAAAGTGAGGACATTGGTGATGGGAAATGTACTTTGGTGAAGGGATAGGTGTTGGAACACTGCATGGCTCAAAACCAATCAGGAACAACTTTGTAACTATATCTCATAGTGATTCAATTAAAAATTAAATTAAGGAAATTTTTAAAAATTAAAAACAAAATTCATCAAACAACTAACCAGTTTGTATTCTGACCGTTATAAATTTAGAAATTTGATCTAATCCATATATTGTTCTGACTGGAAACATATTTGGTCGAGCAGAAAATATTTCCAGGTGAATAACATCCTGTGGCTTAACTCCATGTTGTAGTAAAGTTTCATCACTTCTAAGAATCTTTCCTAAAATTGAGATAAAATTGTAGGGAGTGTTAGAAGAAAAATAAGTGCCAAACTTAAGTCCTATATTATGTTCCTCTCCAGCAAGGGTGTATCCTTTTCTTCTACTTTTTAATAAAATTTTGTTTCTTAAAAAGAGGGAAAAGTAAAAGAAAAATTATGTCCCTTCTAAAGGAACAGAAAATATCAAATATGCCTATATAAAAACATAACCACATACCATTCAATTATCAAATAAGAATATTAAAGATGTCCATATCTTGCTAGAATGTAAGCATAAAAATTACTAAGTGATACAGTTAAGGTGATACTACTAAATAATCCATAACCCTCAAATCATCAAATAAAGTATGTAATAACAATATGACTCTTGAAACAATTAAAAGATAAATTTTATAAATGAGTAAAATCATATCAAAGCATTAAGTTCATTATAAATGAGGAAGTATTTTATGTAACCACAGGATATATTCACACAAGAGGATGCCTGATAATTTTACGCCCCACTCCAATGCAGAAAACTAAGTAATCAGAATTATACAGGATGTCTCCCTTATCTGTATTCATTATCAGGAACTCATAAATTAGGTTATGCCAAGGTAAACTAAAATTTAAGTTTGTGTGGAAAGGTATATGTCAAGTACATTGCTTCATTTTTTATTTTTGAATGCTCATAAGTTTTCCTGGCTCTGCACACATGAGTAACTCCTGGTAGTGCTCAGGGAACCAAATGGATTACCTGGCAACCATATGGGTTGCCAGGTATTCTAATTTGGCCTCATGCAAAGCAAACAACCTACCCACTATAGCTTCTGTCCCTGTATGTCAGGTTTTTATGTTGTATTGCTTTAACTTCTACCTACTCTCCTACCACCATTGTTCTGTACTATTATACCTCTAATTATATTTCACTATTTTAAGATATACAAGAAAACTGTATAATGTTACAGGCTGCTGCTTTGTGTCATTAAAAAATTTCAGTGTTTTCTAATATATTCTTTACCTAAATTAGAACTAGTAATTTAAATGTAATAAAGGTTCTACAAAAGTTTTACTCATTTGTAGAAAGATGATACTTCTAGTCTAACTAAGTTCAATAAAAGCACATTCCAAGAACTTTGGATTTCAATACCACATCTTAATTTTATAATTTTCAAGTTAACATAAATGGGAATAAGAGAGATAGTTCAAAGGACAGGAATACCTGCATGGAATGCACAGAACCCCAAGTATGATTGCTGACATGGAATCCTCCCTCCCCAAAGCACCACCAGACCTGAGGCATACTCAGATCTGAGAACAAATAGTCAGGTTGGCACCACCAGACCCAGCATATTGGGGTCCGATTATAAGATCCCAGCTAAAACCAACATGAACACTAGGAAGGTTTTGTGACAGGTTGAATGATGGTCTTTAAACATATGGTGAATTACCTTATACGACAAAAGTGATCACAGATTTTATGATGGATATTTTTAAGATGGAAAGAGTATTCTGAATTATCTAACTATATCCTAAATGTAATCACAAGAGCACATTTAGGAGTCCACCTGGAGAAAGAATAATATTTGACTACAGAGGAAATGATATGACAGAAGCAGTGAGAATGAAGCAAGGGTTCCAAGAGCCCATGAAAGCAAGAAATGCAGTTTTAGAAGAGGAAAAATGAATAGATTCTTCCTAGAACCTCAGAAGAAGAATGGCCCTCCTTAATGGCCTATAACTTTACCCGAGCAAAACTGATTTTATATTCCTATCCTCCAGAACTGGAAGAGAAATAATATATTGAAGTATTTTTGTTTGTTTTGTTTTGTTTGGGGGGGGGGGTGCACACACAGCAGTGCCTGGGGCTTACTCCTAGCTCTGTGCACAGGCATGCTCCAGGTAGCTTGAGGGACCACATAGAGTGCCGAGAATCAAACCCAGGTCAGCCTTATATGTCAAGTGCCCTAATCGCTGTACACCTAACCACTTGGAACTGCTGTAATCACTCTGGCTCCAGTATGTTGTTTTATCCTATTAAGTCTGTAGCTATTTTTTCAACAGTCACTGGAAACTAACATAGGTTCCCAGAGCCGTTCCCTTCTTCTACCTGTTTCTAGAGTAGGCTTAACACCACCAAATGTGAACTTCAGTTCTAATACTAGACAAAAGCAAGTATCTTAGAGGGTGGACAAATGAAACCATACTCTTCTATCACTGCTGGTGAGTCAAATTCTATTGCCTAATAAACACATATAAAGAAGAAACATTAGTGAAAAAAAACAAGAGATTCTCTTGGTGCCAGTGTCAAATTTCAAAGAGATCTTCAATTTTGAAATGTACTTTACAGTTAATGTCAAGCAGGTTTTGTTTGGTTTGTTTTGTTTTGGGGGGTTCACATGAGGCGATGCTCAGGGCTTAACTCCTCGATCTGAAACTGGGAATTACTCCTGGTGGTGCTCCAGAGATTACATGGGATGCCAAGAATCAAACCCAGATAGGCTTCATATAAGGCAAACACCCTACCTTGCTGCCCTATTGCTCTGGCCCCAGTGTGAAGCAGTTTTGTAACTTCTTGAATTCATGTCTATAGTTAAGTACCCATGTTATATAAATTGTCCAAGTTCCTTGAGATTTAGTTTCCCTCTCCCTGCTCCCCTCAAATTTAATCATAATAGTTACCTGCAAGGGTTGTTGAGTGTTTTGTATGACTATGATAATACAGGCATATTATTTTATAGTACAAGCACATAATAAGTAAATTACCCATTGTCAATATGTCATCACAACTACTATGAAAGAATCCATATTAGGGCATCAAATTTTTGTGTACTTTAGCTAACTTGCAACATTGCTTTCTGTAAAACTGCTTGGCTGCTTCGCACCTGGGGGAGAGGGGACTTGGAAAGTGATTTACTGTCCCTGAAATGTATTGTCTCAGTAAAGCACCCTGCAGATTTGAGTAAAGGATAACTCAGGATGCAGGTGGTTGGGGGAAATTGTCCTTTCCTGGAATGTATTGTCTCACTAAAGCACCCTGCAGACTTGGGTAACTCAAAACGAGGATGGTCAAGGGAGATTTCCTAAGGCTTAATGATTCCAGCCATAACCTTGCTTGTGCTGACAATCGATGTACGTAAATGCTGATCTTTGAATCTATAGGCTAAGGAGTGAGGTACTTTTAAATGGATTGGTTAAGAAAGTATATGTTGTTACAAATCTATTGGCTATGAAATGCGCGGGCTTTGCTGTAACGGCCAGTGAAGGCCTATATAAGATCCCCTTTGAAGAAGTTCGGGGCTCTCAGCCACTGCCCGTTTTTGGGGTATGCTGCGGAGCCCCAGCATGCTGGTCTAAATAAACCCCGTTTTTACTCCTGCAGGAATTGTGTCTATCTGGTCTCTCCGCGCCTCCCAGGGCCAGGGAACTCCCGATCCCAACATTTGGAGGTTCCACCGAGATCACCGAGGACCCTGCCCCAGGGACGCAGGATTGAGCCACGGGGTAAGTTAAGGCGCCTCTTTCTGTCTCTTTGTTTCTCCGGTACCGTTTTACTGTAGTTACCGATCGGTGACACAAGCACAGTGGTGTGCAGCACAGTGACAGTGGTGTGCAGCACACTGTTGTGTGTGCGAGCCTTGTGTCTGACAGACGTGTCGGGAATAGACACGGGCCGCAGCCCTGGGGGACGCCCCGGAGGTGGATGAGGGCCAGGGACGCCTGGAGGCCTCTTTTGTGGTAGCCTCGGAGAGGCTACATCTGGTGTGTCAGGAATCATCGGCCGCTCTATTACTTCTCTATTCTTCTTTCCTCTCCAAAAGGCCTTGCGCTTGCGTCATTCTTTTTTGTAGGTTGGATCACGCTCGTCCTTTTTCTCTACCGAGACACCGTCTTTGGAACCATGGGACAATCTCCGTCCACTCCTCTCACTCACTCTCTCCCACTGGTCAGAGGTCTGCTCTCGTGCTCAGAATCTTTTTCTGATTGTTAAAAAGCCTAAATGGCAGACCTTTTGCTCTGCAGGATGGCCGATGTTCCAGATTGGTTGCCCCCCCCCCATCCCCCGAGGGATCGTTCCACTCGCCGCTCATCTTCCAGGTCAAGGGAGTCATCTACCAGCCTGCTCCCCGGGGGTACCCGGACCAGGAGCCTTAGGCAGGAGTGCCAGGCCGGGGGGAGAAGGGGCCCCCACTTACTCTGCTCCTCCTCTGCCCCTGAACCCCGAACTCTCTATTGCCACTCCCGGGCCAGCACTGGCCTTTCCCTACTTCCGATCTCTTCACTTGGAAGAACTAAACCCTCTGGAGGTGAAAAATCATGTGCATGTCCTTTGGGCATATTTGGGAGTCCCAGGGTGACTGGTGAGTGTGGTGCAAACCCGTGTGAAAGAGTGGACCGGTCCGAGCAAGTGCCTAAGTGTGATCTGTGCGTGTATCCATAGTGTGTGTATTTATTATCTTTCTCCTAATTCTGTTTATTAAGATTGTTTAATACGGGTCAGAATTGATCATTAAGATTGTTTAATACGGGTCAGAATTGATCACTTCTCTAAGATCCACAGGAAAGCTCAGGATCTGGGCTTGATGATCAAGAAAGGTAAATTTGACACTTATTGTTCATCAGAACTTCTCTAGCTCCATGTAGAACTTCTCGATTTCTCTTTCATCATAATGAGATGTTGGTGCGTAGACAACGAAGATAGAAACTGCAGGCAGTGAGCCACATCTATTCAAATGTAAACGTCCGATTCGGGTTGTTAGGCATTCGAATGAATCAATGCTCTTGGCCAAGTTTGTGTTGACAAGGACACCGACTCCTCCAACACCTCTTTTATCGCATGTTCCGAGGAACAATTCTTCTCCAGTGTCGAAAACGGCATGGTGAGATTCGTGTCTTCTTGTCTCGGTCAGACCAATGATGTCGTACTTGATCATTCGCGCTTGTACCATCAGGTCCTCGATGGATGCATCTGATGCTAGCGTACGTGGATTGAAAGTACAGACGATCATTTTTGTCTTCCT